GGATGGATGGAACAATTAAGAAAATAATGAAAATAAAATATTTAAAAAACATAAAACTATATAAAGGGACTAATTAAGGAAAGAAAAAGAAGATTAAAGCAACAATAGCCCACACTAAATCGATGAAGGGGGGTAAGAGGAGAGAAAAATAAATATAAGAAAGCCACTTTTATTAAAGAGAGAAAAAACTTACAAGAATATCTCTTAAATTTTTCACTATAAAAACTGTCTCTCATACTTAGTAAGAGGGTATCTCATAACATATTCAAAGACTCATTTTAAAGACTGAAAAATTACTATGCCTATATTTCCAATTGTGCTATGGTACTGTATCTATAGACCAAAACTAATAATTGTGACACTTTCATCAAACCTTTAATCATATCATCATATAATGAAATTGAGAACCAAATTGACTTAGTTGATCTAATAATAAGGCAATAGAAATTCAAATGGTTGCCATTAACCCCTAAACAAGTTCAATTAATTTTGGTCAGTTTCAAGTACTAATAGAATTTATATTTTTCACCTGAAACTGACCTAATATATCTATTCATAACTGTCACTTTCATCCAAGAAAATCCAATACCGAATCCAACTTGATGTCTAGCCAACTTTATTGCAACGGTGATGCTGGTTTCGAAGGGGTGTAAAATCATTGAGCACTCCTATTGTCAAGTGGTTTGCAGCTTGTCACTTATGGCCATGGATGTTTGATGTTGTGGTCCTTGCATGGTGGTTCAAAGCTTTACCTGTTACTCCCATCTTGTTATGGAAACCTCCCACCCTCTTGGACCCCTCACGACTCTACGACTTTACATCAACCACTCCCTTACTTGCTTGTTCCTTTGCGATCACACCCTTTTAGTGACATTTTAGTAAGACTTTCTTTTGACTTGACATTTTGGTTTTGCAAAATGCTTTTTGCTCGAGGGTTCTTCTTTTTCCTAGGCTATTTAAAGCCTCATTTTTTGCATTTCCTATTTCCCCCTTCACATTTTACTAGGTTCCCAACATTAGTCGCTTGTGCTCGGGCATGGGAAATGTGTCCTAAGCGCATTAACACTCTTGCCATTATCAATGTGTTGGTCATTCGCCCATTGCATGAGCAGTTTTGTCTCAAAGAACGTGTGCTTAGGATCTTTTTTTATGCATCGTGCAATAACACTATTATCTCTTTCTCTCTCTATTTGATTTCAAACTTCTTAGCTGTTACAATATTTGGCCACTAAAACTCCCCATTTCCCTATCCTTTTCCCTTGTGCACCTTTTCTTTTTCTTGTCTTCCTTTCTTATGGCATGTACCAAGACCTCCTGTTTCATCAATGGCTCGAACCTTGCAAGCTCTCATAGCGATTCTGCCACAAGTTCCCCTACTAACTCTCTAAAATCGCTCCCTTATGAGACCTCTATTGACATTCACTCCCTTCTCCTCACATCAATCCTAATGAAGGCACCAATTAGAAAATGCTTGAGAATGTTCCTCCCCTCCATTGTCCTTGGCTAGAGTTCATCCTAAGAGGGGATCTAAATGCTTTGAATGGCCAAACAAGTGTAACACCCTATATTTTTATTTTATTTTTATTTTTATTATTGCACTTTGTTTTCAAAATGAAAGAGCTTTTATTTTTGAAAGAACAATATTTCTTGCTCAACCAAGAAATGTCTCACTAGAGCAAGATTGACTAATTTGGAAGGGACGCCTTTGGAACATTCTCGCTTAGGCGAGATAGTATTCACTCAAACGAGAATTGATAAAAACTTCTCAATTATCTTCTCGTTTAAGCGAGGAGTCCCTTGCTTAAGCAAGTTTATTACGAAATGTGTAGAAATTTCTATCTAGTTGTCTTACTCAAGCGAGCACACTCTTGTTAAAGTGAGAATTTGCAAGTAAAAAGAGGTATTTAAGTAATTTGATGTTTTAAAACTTAAAGCACAAGGTAAGTAATCATTCTCATTTCACCCTCTGATCTCTCACTTTTCTTCCATGGCTAAAATACTTTGAGAAACTTCAAACCTATTTTGAATCTGAGCTTAGATATCTTTTTCACGTGATTTCAAGTAAGTTTTTTATAGCTAATCTTCCAATTTTATTTCTATTTTATTATTTTTTTTCCTTCTCAAAAGTTACTCCACTTCATAATACTTAAGGAAGACTTAATCTTTCAGACAATATCTTTTACAAAACTTTACGTGAATCATTTCCTTAAGGTAAGGGGAATTGTATCTCATCATTAAAATATATACTCTTTTTTCGCATGTGTGTATGATTATGTACTTCTCTACCTTAGAAATATATGTTTAAATGAAATTTTGATTATTCATTTATGTTAATGAACTTGATGATGCATGTTTTATTGTTTCTTGGATGGCTAGAATGCAATATATTAAAAATACATGATTTGAACTTAGTCCGAAGGTACCTGACCTTCAGCGTGATTTGATAAATTGTATCTCATCATTAAAATATATACTCTTTTTTCGCATGTGTGTATGATTATGTACTTCTCTACTTTAGAAATATATGTTTAAATGAAATTTTGATTATTCATTTATGTTAATGAACTTGATGATGCATGTTTTATTGTTTCTTGGATGGCTAGAATGCAATATATTAAAAATACATGATTTGAACTTAGTCTGAAGGTACCTGACCTTCAGCGTGATTTGATAAATGTATGATGATGGTGGTGAAATATCCTAGTATGATGAGAGATAAAAAAGATAAAAATTGGTATGGATAGTTATAAAGATACACTGAAAATATGGAAAATTTAGACAATTTTTGAAAAAAACCTAAAAGAAATATAGGATGATGAATGCTAGTTATAGTTGTGCGTAATTTATTGAGAGCGAAAGCATTATAGGCCACACACTTATTTCTTAACTAATACTCGTAACTATACTTTTGCTAAGAGGCTAAATTTGCATATGTTGTATTCATATTGCGACAGCTAACTAGCAATTATCCATACATGTAGAAGGCCTCAAGGGATCCCAAGAACAAATGGTGTATACATATTGAATAATAGGATCTCATTATATGTATCATAAGCACCAATTTGTACTACATTTTATTTTTAAAAACTAAAAATTATTTTTAAAAAGGAAATCAAACATGCTCTAAATGAACAAAATTCTAATTTATCCTAAAATTTTATGTAATTAAATATTTATATGTATGTTATTCAAAATAATATTTATTTAAGTTTTAATAATCTATTATGTATTACATAAAGTAATGAGATGAAATATCCATTAATTTTATTTTTATATAAAATTTTATAAACTTGATCTATTTGATAAATATTTATAAAGTAATAGTTAAATTAGTGAAATTTATATTTTATGAAAAGTTATTAAATGGTATAATTATTTAATTTTAATCTTTGATATGAATGAATTTTGGCCCCAAAAAAGTATCACCTTAATAATATTTTTTTAGATGCATTTATCTTCAAAAAAAAAATTATTAGACTTAAAATTTTTGTCATAAATTATACCTATAAAATTTTATATTGGTATTTTATAATCTATATAAACAAAATTAACATAATATATAATTTTAAAATATATAAAAATAAGAAGAATTTAATTATATTTTAATATTTACTTTATTTTTACTAAATTTGAAAAAAATAATCTAGACAAGATTTGATAGAATCAATAAAAATGTCATTTTATGTAAAGTTATTAAATATGTAAAAAAAATTCGTATAACTTCGTTAATTCCTCCATCTTTTTGTATTTATATACACCAGCGCGCATGTACGTGAGAGATACACCCACACCAATTTAAAAAAATAAAAAAAAATACTTATTCTTTTTCAAATAATAATATCAACAATTTTAGAAATCACTGCTCAGTAAAATACGATTTTTTTTAATTAATAAAAATATTTAATATTAACAGTGTCTTAGTAAAAAAAATAAATTATTTAACTTATTATCAATTAAAAAAGTTAAATAAAATTAACTATAACAAGTGACTAAATAATTATATGTTTCCAAAAATAAAAAAAGAACTTAGAATAAAATTATTATAATTTTCATTGATTTTAAAAGACCATTGGCCATATATTTGTATAAATTATCGGAATCCGTAACGATTGAACAAGTTGAAGCAGATTACGACGGGATCGTAGTGTCTTTGCGTGAGACACACATTAATCCAACGGTGACGAGCTTATCAGACAAGTTCCACTTACAAGAACACAAAACAAATGAACACGAAGTCAAATATTAATAGTCAATAACCATGTGAACCACGGCATAGTTTTGTACTCTTCACATCTCCCTTTCATTCACACTCTGGTGGGGTGTGAGCCAAAATCACTTGACCCTCAATATGAACTTCACTTTCTCTACACTTAACCACCTCAATTATATGGCTTTTTTATTTTATTTTTTAAAACATATTCAAACTGTTTTAAATTAATTTTTTATTACATTAGTATTTGTTTTATCTGCTGTACCGATGAAATTAATTTTTTAATTAAATTTTATTTTTAATAAAGACAAAACTATATGGAGTATGTATTATAAGTTTTAAAACCTGTAGAATTATAGCATGTGTCATGCTGATTCAATTTTTAAAACTTAATTAAGAGAAAAGAGAATAAGTATTTTAACATAACACATGACACAATTATGTAAGTTTTGTCAATATAAAGAATAAAATTTATCAGTTATAATTTGTGATACAATTGTTTAATTTTATTGCTGTTGAAAATAAAACTTAATTAAAAAAATTAATTTTATTTATACAGTAAATAAAAGAGGTGTTGACGTGATATGAAAAAATTTCACATAAAAAATAAAAAATATATTTTAAAAAATGTTATTTTAAAAAATTAGTTTTTTAAAATACATTAAAAAATATAAAAAGCCCACTAAGCCCTCACCCACCCGTAGAGCTGATTGTGCCAACTTTGGTGCCTATAAAAACGTCTTCAAAGCCCTTTTTCTACGTGCGTGTGTGTATATTCTTGTTCTTTGTTTCATAGTGTGAAACATGGAAGACAATGTATGCAAAACCATGATGTTCTCTTTGCTCTTTCTTGTTCTTTGCATTACTGGTAAACTGATTTCTAAATTCTGGTGGGGACCCAAGAGTGTCGAGAAACAATTGAGGAAACAAGGGGTTCGAGGTAATTCTTACAAGCTCTTTAACGGTGATGTGGAGGTGCTGAAGAAGTGTACAGCGGAGGCACTGTCTATGCCTATCAGCTTGAACCACCAAATTGTGCCGCGTGTCATGCCTTTCTTTCATCAGATGGTGGAGAACCATGGTATGGTATGCAAGTCCATTGATATGATAAACCTTGAGCATATACAGCGCAAAATAAATAAAATTACTTATATTTTAGTAAAAGTTTAACGAAAAAAAGGGCTAATGAATACAGAGCTTTTGATGAAGTTAACAAGAAATAATGATATTGTCAAATTTCCAAAGATTTGGTATTATTATGATGGCAAATGTTAAGTACACTTATTAGAGAATTAAATAATAATTATTTAGAGGTGTTAATCAATGCTCTAATTAATGTTGTGACATTATCATTGCTTAGGAAAAGTGTCACTGAGTTGGTTTGGTAGGGTACCAAGGCTGATAGTGGCAGATGCAGAGCTAATAAGGACAATATTAGCAGATCAGAATGGTCATTTTACAAAGCCACCAATACTTAACCCTTTAGTTGAACTTCTGCAATTGGGTATCGCAACCTTGGAGGGTGAAGCTTGGGCTAAACGCAGAAAACTAATAACACCTGCTTTCCACTTTGAGAAATTAAAGGTACTATTCTTACAAGTCGTTTTTGATCTAAGTACTATTCTTTCAAATTTACAAAGGATTTGACTCTTAAAAAAAAACAAATGGGTAGAGTGAAAAAGTAAGATTACATATCTATTGTTAATTTGAAGTTAGTTAAGATTATAAGATATTTAACTTAAAATAAATGGTGAGTGTAGTCTTACTTTCTCGCTTTACTGGTTTGTTCACTTAGAAGAGCAACATCCTTTTACTTGATGCACAATATATTTTCAAATAGGCAATGGAGCCAGCATTCTTAGCCAGTTGTTGCAGCCTAATCGATCGGTGGGAAAAAAAAATTGAAGCTCAAGGATCATGTGAAGTAGATGTTGCTCCAGAGTTTAACATTCTAGCTGGAGATGTTATTGCTCGAACTGCATTTGGAAGTAGTTATGAAGAGGGAAAGATGATATTTGAATTGCAGACAAAGCAGGTTCAGCTTGTGCGTGAAGCCTATCTCAGCATCTGTTTTCCTGGTTTAAGGTGCAATGTCATGTTTAGATGAAATTGCTTATATCCTTTGCATCAAAGTTTCAAATTAAACAACGAGACGTGTATACCTTTTTACAACATTAAATAGCATTTATTAATGATATATTTGCGGAGTTCTTAAAAATATACACGTGTCATTGTTTGATAGAGCTTGTTGACAAAGATATAAGAAATTTGATTTTAGTCTTAATATGTATTCTAGGAGGTTTATGGTAAATGAAGTCAACTAACAAAATTCTTTGTCCTCATAGATTTATTCCCACTAAGAAAAACAAAATGAGGTACCAAATATACAACCAAGTCAAAGCAATATTGAAGGATATGATCCATAAGAAAGAGAAGGAAATGATGAAAGGTGAACTGAAAAGGGATTGTTTGTCGAGTATTCTATTGCATTGCAATGGACAGAGTAATAATTCTCTCACAAGTGAGCATTTGATAGAGGAATGCAAGTTGTTCTACTTTGCTGGCCAAGAGACAACTGCCAATCTTCTTACATGGACTATGGTTGTTTTCTCCATGCATCAAAATTGGCAAGAAAAGGCAAGGGCAGATGTATTAGATATTTGTGGCAAAAAAGAACCTAATTTTGAAGCCATAAATTGCCTAAAGATTGTAAGTTTAGAAAATCTAGCCAAACAAAACATCATAAAATAATCTTTTGATTTCACAACTAACAAAAAATGTTTGTAAATTTAACATTGCAGGTATCAATGGTACTAAATGAAGTCCTAAGGTTGTATCCTCCTGTGCCAAAATCTTTGAGGTACACTAAATGTGCAACACAGATAGGAAGCATGTATGTACCTGAAGGGGTTGAGATTTATTTACCATTCATGCTTCTTCACTATGATGAGAATAACTGGGACAACCCAGAGGAGTTTAACCCTGAAAGATTTGCTGAAGGGGTTTCAAAAGCTTCAAAAGGTCAAATTGCTTTCTATCCATTTGGTTGGGGCCCAAGAATTTGCCTAGGTCAAAACTTTGCACTGATAGAGGCAAAGATGGCTCTGGCTATGATTCTTCAACATTTCTCATTCCAGCTTTCACCCACTTACACTCATGCTCCATATGATCACATTACTCTTAAGCCACAATATGGAGCTTCTATTATTGTGCAATCTATAAATTAGTTGAATCAATATTTGATACACACGAGACCCAAAATGTAACTATCAAAGGAAGAGGGGTGTTGGTGAAACATAAAATACATACATATATATATATATATATACACATTTATTAGACACAACAACAATGTTATGACTTCAATATAGATGTAACAATTTTTGTCAACCTACCTATGTTACGATTCATAACTCTTGTAATTTATCTTTAATTCGAATGATATTGGGAAAGGTCCTAAACTATGGATGCAAATTAGATTTGAACCTCTGCCATGTGCTGCTAAATAAGTGAAATATTTTTTTAAATGGTATGTAAGATTTTTTTTTTCCTTCTTTTCATTTAATGTTATATAATTTAATTTCCTTTGAGTGTAAATGCTAGCTAATTGTGCAAGCCTCTTTTGGAATTCATATCGAAACAACACAACATCTTCACATGCCTAGTAAGTCCCACTTAAATGTCAATTTATAGTAGTTATCTTTAAAAGTAAAAAACTGGAAGCATGAGTTACTGTTTATCATAACATTATAGGATCACAAATTTGACTTCTAAAGAAAGAACTTGCAGTTTTTTTTTTTTTTTTGAAAGTTAGTTTTTAAGAAGAAGGAAACGTTTACATAAGTTACCATTCATCCTAACATTGTAGAGACCACAAATTTAACTTCAAAAAAGAGAATTTGCGATTTAGGCTTTGTTTAAAGTTAATTTTTCAAGGACAGATGAGAAAGAAGAATTATGTGATAATAATTTTTGTTTGATAATTTTTAGATGAGAAGAGGTTTCATAAGCCTTTTAAAATCCTAATAAACCCATGTTTTTAAGTTCTCTCAATTTAAAAGGATTTTTACTAATTTTCTTTCCTCTTTTCTTTTTCTCTCTTGTCTTATTCTTTAAACTCTTTCATTTTTTCTTTCTTTAAATTTCCAAACAAAATCTTGAACGATAAAGCCTAATTCTAATAATGTTATTAATACATTAAATATATAATTTTTAATAAAAAATATTATAGATAATTTTATATTGTCTTGGGGTGAGTGAAGGATAAAAAGAATGAAAAGTAGAAAAGTAGAAAAGTAGAAAAGTAGACAAATTACTAAATATGCAAGATATTATTATGATATACAATGTCAATAAGTAAGTTTAGTAGAAATGATAAAAGAACATAAAAATTGGATGGATGAAACAATTAAGAAAATAATGAAAATAAAATATTTAAAAAAACATAAAACTATATAAAAGGACCAATTAAGGAAAGAAAAAGAAGATTAAAGCAACAATAGCCCACACTAAATCGATGAAGAGGGGTAAGAGGATAGAAAAATAAATATAAGAAAGCTGCTTTTATTAAAGAGAGGAAAAACTTATAAGAATATCTCTTAAGTTTTTCACTATAAAATCTCTCTCTCAGACTTAGTAAGAGGGTATCTCATAACATATTCAAAGACTCATTTTAAAGACTGAAAAATTACTATGCCTATAGTTCCAATTATGCTATGATACTATATCTATAGACCAAAACTATTAACTGTGACACTTTCATCAAACCTTTAATCATAGCCTCATATAATGAAATTGAGGACCAAATTGACTTAGTTGATCTAATAATAAGGTAATAGAAATTCAAATGGTTGCCATTAACCCCTAAACAAAACAAATAGAAATCCAAGCATCTACTGAAGAAATTAAAATTCTCTTGCAACCAAAAACTCAATACATACTAAAAAACAAATTTTCTTTGGTCATCCAAATGGAGGTAGAATTTTAGAAAATATCACCTCATAAAGAGAAACTAAGAATCTTATCAAAAGGCTTCCACTTCAAACTTTTAGCCTAAAATAAAATTAGACAACTCTATAAATTTATCCTGATAGATTATAATTACCATCAAATATTATAAAGACCCAAACAATCTTTCAAATTATACTCACTAAACCATCCAAATTCTCAAAGTGCTCACACCAACACATTTTATTAAAAATCCAAATAACCTAAAAAAATTTCCCAGGACTTTGACTCTATTGATTATAATTACTAGGATTATGGTAATGTGAGTCTTTGGGTGCCTAAACAAAGCACACTACCATTCCTGCCTTATTTATTTCAAGAAAAATGTTCAATATAATTTTTCACAATAATTTCTCCAATAGTGGGACTTTTTGGGACCAATCGGAGAAATTCCTCCTTGATCAACATAGGAAGGACTCAAGCTTTTTCACTAGAATGTATTCACAAGAATTATGAATTCATGCAGATTTAAAGTGTTTTTTTTTTTTTTTCGCTTAGTGTTATCCTTAGCCTAGATACTGTCATGGAAATGTAGGTACAAAAATTAGGAGAGTCCTAACCATTTACCATTGCTTTAGAGGAATTCTTTTGTTAAGTGATAGCCAAAAGTTGAAGCATCAAAGTCTAGATGAGGTAAAAAAGTGGTTCCAAACAAATACAAACACATACACATCTTTGTTCCTTAACTATAAAGCCTGAGTCATAGCAGCTTTAGCAACCTCCCAAACAAAAGGAAGTTTTGCAAATATTTTGAAAGATATTATCAATCTTTTGCAAAGAGAAGAAGCATGCTTTAACTCCTCAATATTATTAGATAACTCTTACCAAAACAAAGATAATTGTGATGGAATCAACCTTGGCAATGATTAATGATACAATGAAGACACTATCTTTAATAAGTATAACATTTTCACTGAAAGTTAATTTGTCTTTCATGAACCTATTCTATAGATACAGTACTATTTGTGAGCAAGTATACTTGTCAAAAAGGTAATAAAGAGGTTCTCAAAATATAGTCCTACAAAAATTGTTTTTGTTCATGGGCAAGAATATTAATTGAATAGTAATAAAAGGAGTTCTCAAATTGATTTTCCATAATATCGTCCCACATGAATTATTTATAATTATCAAGAATATCGTGATTTAATTATTTAAAACTAAATAGTGTGTAATAAAGTAAAATAACGATATGAAAGAATTAAACATGAAACTCAATTAAGAAAACAACTCACATTCTAACAAGAAAGTTATTTGAGATCAACATAGAGCTTTTGGTTTTACCTTTACACCTCTTTTTATTTACTTTTAGTTTAATTTCAATTTTGGTTTCCTTATAATTGTCAACCACTAATGTTAAAGATATTGACACTCAACGGTCATGCAATGTTAATATTTTTTTTTCTAAGCTATTACCCCTAATGGTCATGTAAGGGAAAAAGAAACAAAAAACATTAAGAGCTTATGAGTTTGATAATTTAATAACAATTGAAAGAGAAAAATTAGGCTTAATCAACTTAATTTGTTGTCTCATTTTACCCTATAGATCCATTAACTACATGTGATACGGTTGCCTACAATAATATCAATTATGATATAATAAGAATGGATATTTCCTAACATATAAATATAAACCCATTAGGATAAAAATTAATCAAAAAAAGAAAATCACAATTGTCATTCAACATAAAATGTGCAAAAGATCCACCATAATTCTAACTATAGATTAACTACTCATAATAAAATAAACAAAGAATAATTGTGAAAAAAAAAAAGTCATAGTCATTCAAAAAGAAAACTTAAACTAAAGGAAACCAAAGAAGAAAGAAATAAGAGTTATTGTCCCCAAGATGTGCTCTTAATCACTTGTCCAAACTTCAGAAAGATACGCTACATTTTCACCAATGATCTCTACTCCTAAATGACTCTAAAAAGAGTCTAAGTCGAAAGGTCTTTTGAGAGAAAAAGTATTTCTTTCAAGTGTATGAAGCCTCCATATACAGAGTGTAGAATCCACAAAAGATCATGATTTGGTCTCCTAAAGATACATTTTATCTCTAACAAAGATATGATTTATCAATAGAGAAAGATATAATTTTCTGTTGTCAGATTTAAATTTCAGATTCGAATTCAACATTCAAAATTTAAATATAAATTCAAAATTGAATTTCAGATTCACTCTCGGAGGCCCTTGAAAATTACTTAAATAGTTGCACCACATATTAAGCACACATATGTATACTCTTCAACATGGCCATGCACGATTACGAAGCCCTCTTAGGTTGGCTGTGAAGTAAGGTCGTGGTTCTTGTTGAGTGTAACTCTGCTTTTTACCAAATTTCATCGAATCACGATCAATAACACACTTGCTCTTTATGCTAAATTATAACAAATAGTAAGTAAATCAAAGGAAAATCCTTATCAAATAAGAGTCAAGCATATAACAATTAGTCACAAAACACCCTAAAATATGGACTTATCAACTCTCTTATACTTGAGATTTGTTGGTCCTTAATCAAAGTCCTAGCCAATAAAAAGGGATAACTTGAAACGTCTTATCACAAAAAGGAACCTGAAGGCTTACAAGATCAGAAGAACAAAAAGAGTATTATCACTAATCATAAGTGGTCAAAAGGTCTCCTATTTAACATTTTATATTCCTTCTCTTTTCACCGAATTATCAAAATAGGTACTCTACTTTCCTCTCTTTCTAAGTGTCTAAGAACAAAAAGAGATATCTCTCAGTTTTTTCAAAGAAAAGTGTACTGCTTTAAGTTTCACTATAAATTGACTTTTCACTAAGTTAATTAAATGCAAGTTAAAAATCATGAGATCTTTTTCAAATTGTAATGTGGCCATAAGAGTTTTAATGATTTTAGGTGAGGTAGTAAAAAGGAATGTCATACAAAATGGGATAAACCATGAAGATCAACAAACTACTCGCAAGTTTATGAATGAAGTTCTTGGAGTATTTTACATATTTCATATGCAACTGATTTCTTACTCCTCCCTCCTTTTTCTTTTGTACTTTGTTTTCCCTTTTTTCTATTTTCAAATTCATTAAATTTTTCCTCTTTTTTTTTTGGGCAAATAAGAGAAGAAGTAGAGAAAAATACATACAATATAGTGCTGCAACTTTTTAAACATTTTCACCCAATTGCTCCTTACATAAACTCAAGGTCATCAAATTAATTTAATGTAAGAAACCAAGAGAAAATCAGTA